GAGGGGGGTGCTGCGTGGTGCAGGCTTGCGCTGGGAACGGGCCAGCCGGCCTGATGCTCTGGGGAGCTCAGGTCTGTGGCTGAAGTGTGTGTGTGTGTGTGTGTACCGTACTCTACTCATGAAAAAGACTTAAGAGTGGCTTAGTGACCGTGGATGCATGACAGACCCCGTGCTGAGCACTCTTCATGCCTCTGGGAAACCCTGACCGCCCACTGGGACCTGAGCTGGTCACCAGGAAAGTTTCTTCCTCTTGAAGGTCTGATGTACGTACAGTCAGTCACCTGCTTCAGCGTTTGCTTGGCAAGTCTTAGCAGGCGCACAGGTGAATATCAGCACGGTGAAGATAGCAAGTGGATCCTCACTTCCAGAATTCCTGGTCAGCCACCGGCCTTCCAGTTTTGCCTTTTGTACAGTGTCAGCCACGATTGGGAATCCCACAGTGTACTTTGTTGCTTTTCCTTAGCGTAAGGATCTCTAAACAAGAGATTGATGGGTTTGGCTGCACTGAGAAGCCCCCACCCTGGCGGCTTCAGGGCTGGGAGGAAAGCTTGCTGGACATGCTGCCCAGTGGTCCCTGGGGCCTCATTTGGCCTTGGTCAAATTTTCAAGGCCCCTGTGAGGAGGTCCTGGGCAAGATTGTTAGGGAACCCTGGCAGGCTGACCTGGGCACCTGATTGGGACTAGGTCCACCGAAGTGATGTGGGCAGAGGGACAGGTGGCCTGCACTTTTTGTTTCTGAGCTCCAGGGTTGAGCTATCCAGTAAGGAGGGTAAGCATGAGCTTAATTGTGCTTACTAAATGATCTGTAGCGAGCATGTGAAAAACATAAAACCGTTCACTATGGATTAGGCACAGGTAACCCTGTGCTTACTTGGCCGGCTGGGATCTCCATCCCTGTCAGGGACTGTCTCTTTGAAGAGAGGCTTTGCTTCCTTAGGAAGGTGCTCTGGGGTTGGGAGAGACAGATGCCAGCCGGATCGTGAAGCGGAATCTTTTGGTGTGGAAAGGTGCCGTTGTTCTCTGTAGATTTGTGAGTGTGCACAAGCAAACTGGTGCTCACTGTGCCTCCAGGCAGTTGGACATTGCTGAGCTCCTCTGGCCTGTTTTCGGCTCCCGGGAGCAGGTTACAGCAGGGTCAGGCTGGAGTGGAGGAGTGCCCTCAGCTGCCCAGGGAGCGGGCATGGCAAGGAAAGCAGGAACCACAGGGGTCAGGCCGAGCCCAGGCCAGCACAGACTCACCTCAAATCCCGGGGCACAGGCTGGGAGGGAGGCGACTGGAGCCCCGGTGTATCTGCCGGCTGCCCTCACCTGGGCACGGTGTGGTTCTGAAATCTGCCTTTTCTGCTCTGCATGTTGGATCTCCTCCTATTTACTCTCGTGTGGGGAATGTGTCTCTTGAAAAGAGGGGGCAGGGGCTAATTAATTCTCTGACGCTTGGTCCATGTGACGGTGTCTTCTTTGGCTCCTGGTGTGTAATTGGGCGTAGCCTTCTGGCACTTTTCCTCCCAGCATGGCTCCCCTGTCACACACGTTGTTGTGATGTCTTGAGCCACGCTGCTTCCTATCTTTGGTTTGGACCTACGTTTTCTCTGGAAGCCTCTCCCAGCGCGACTTTCCCCTGTGAACTCTTGGGGAACTGGGTCTGTTTTCACGCCTGTGCTGGCTCCTTTCGGTTTGGTCACCCGCACCCCTCAGGCTTTTGCACGTGTGATCACGGGCCTGGAGGACTCCAAGTGGCTGGGAACACGTCAAGGAGACCCGGCCGGAGGGGTGGGCTGAGCCCTCCTACACACACACCTAGCTGCCTCCTGTTGACAGCCTGCCTCCACGGAAGGCGGAGGGGGAGGAGGAAGAGGAGGAGCTGGAAGAGACTGTGCAGGAGAAGAAGCTCCGCCTGGCCAAGCTCTACCTTGAGCAGCTCAAGCAGCAAGGTGAGCCCACAGGGGCAGGTGAGGGGCGGGGCCTGCTGCTGCAGCCTCAGTCACTGCTGGGCGCTGGGTGCAGGTACCAGTGGGCTGATGGAGCCTGTCACTGCTGGGCGCTGGGTGCAGGTACCAGTGGGCTGATGGAGCCTCAGTCACTGCTAGGTGCTGGGTGCAGGTACCAGTGGGTTGTCAGGGCTAGTGGAGCTCTGGGAGCAGCTAGGAGCTCTTAGGGGCCCCTTGGCAGGTGGGGCCGGGGAGGGGAGAGGGAAGTGCTTCAGATTGGTCTGATAGCCAAGGTGGGAGAGCAGGGAGACTATTCCACCTTCCCTCCCCTCTGCCGGAAGCAGCAAGACTGGAGGTCAGGCCAGGGGTCTGTGGGTAGGGGACAGAAGGGGAACCTGGGGCCTGGGCCTGGGCTTCTTACTTGGTCTGCTGTGTCCCGGACAGAGGAGGAGAAGGCTGAGGCCCGAGCCTTTGAAGAGGACCAGGTGGCTGGGCGTCTGAAGGAGGATGTGGTGAGTGTGTGTGTGCATGCGCATGCGCGCCAGGGGGTCGTGGGGGAACTGCACCTGTTTCCCAGGTCTCATGCCTCTCTCCTCCCGGCAGCTTGAGCAGAGGGGGCGGCTGCAGAAGTCGGTGGCAAAGGAGGTGAGCGAGTAGGAGACTCTGGGGTTAGCCTGAGGGAGGTGGGGGCTCAGCCCTGGTCGGAGGGCAGATGGACTGGTTGGAGGCTCAGGGGGTCTGGGCTCTGGGCACATGGGCAGTCAGGGCCAACTGGGGGTCCTGTTTTCCTCCTGGCTGGGCTGGGTGGGTGGATGGTGCCCTCATGTCCCGGCCCCGCCCTGCCTAGATCCAGGCCCCAGCCCAGGCCGACATCCGCGTCCTGCGGGGCCACCAGCTCTCCATCACTTGTTTGGTCATCACCCCTGACGACTCGGCCGTTTTCTCTGCCGCTAAGGATTGCACCATTGTGAAGTGTGAGTCAGTGCCTGGGGGGTGGGGTGGGGTGGGGTGGGGTGTGCCCCCAAGGGCCTTCAGAGGAGGCAGGGAGTCCAGAGAAGGGGTGCTCCCAGGGAGGCGGCGGGGCCCTCAGCAGGGATGGCTTGGTGGGAGTTGATGTCGCAGGTGGACTGAGGCCAATTGGGGCTCTACAGTTCTGAAGGAGGAGCCCCGGTGGCGTAGTGCTAACTGCAAGATCAGTAGTTCGAGTCCACCAGCCGCTCCTTGGGAGCAAGATGAGGCTTTCCACTCCTGCAAAGAGCCATAGACTCGGAAACCCACAGGGCGGTTCCACCCTGCCCGTGGGGCCCCCATGAGCCGGCGTCCACTTGGGGGCGTGAGTGCCGTTTGCTTGAGTGCAGTCCTGAGCTGAGACCCTGGCCCTGGCTGCCGGCGGCCCCCTCGGCCACTGCAACGGTCATGGGGAGAACGCCACCGTTGCCCCAGAACTCTCTCCTGCTGGGGCCCATGGGCAACTCCTCGGGGCACCCTCTCTGCGAGGACTTTCCTGTGCCCCCCCTCCTGCACCCTTGGAGGGGGGCTACCAGCCAGCTTTCTCCCCCTCTCCCCTCCCCATGGTGTCAGGGAGCATCGAGAGCGGACGCAAGCTGCATGTGATCCCTCGAGCCAAGAAGGACGCGGAGGGGAAGCCCCGCGGCCACAGCAGCCACGTCCTCTGCATGGCCATCTCCTCTGATGGCAAGTACCTCGTAAGGCAGGGTCGGCCCGGGGTGGGGCTTGCGGGTGGCACTGCGGCGTGCAGGGTGCCTGGGTCACCCTCTCTGTGTCCACAGGCCTCGGGCGACCGAAGCAAGCTCATCCTCATTTGGGAGGCTGAGAGCTGCCAGCACCTGTATACCTTCACGGGACACCGGGACTCCGTGTCGGTGAGCCAGCACCGCAGGGGGGTCATGGTGGGACTGGGCCGGGAGCAGGGGGGTCAGTGGAGAGGAAGGGTAGAGCCCAGCCGCGCAGGGGTCTGTCCGGGGGCCTGTAGGGGAAGCCGCAGCTGGAGGGACTGCCTGCCGAGGCAGGTGGGCAGGTGGGCTGCCCAGATGTGGCCCTCAGAGCGCCGGGACCCGGGTGCACGCGACTCGCCGGGCAGGAAGCCCCTGTAGGTCTGACTTTCGCCTCCCCGTTGCCCTAATCCCTCTCTCCGTGCACCCCAGGGGCTGGCGTTCCGCAGGGGCACCCACCAGCTCTTCAGCACGTCCCACGACCGCTCCGTGAAGGTGTGGAACGTGGCCGAGAACGCCTATGTGGAGACCCTGTGAGTGCG